TTGACCTGTTTCTATAATGCTTAAATAAAAACAAATTAATATCCTCATCCTTTTCTGAGATTTGATTTAGCTTAAAGTAACTATATAGTTGATTATTTTATTTCTCATTTAGATAAAAATATCAGGAAGGTCAAAATGTTTCATACTCTGTGATATCATTTTTTGTGTTAAGGAATGAACATGCAAGATACTTTATAAATCACACACTTAAGAAAAAAATCTGGAAATAGCAGCATCTCCATAATCCTTAATGAATTCGGGCCTTGATTATTTGCATTGAATGCAAACCTTCCTTGCTGATCATCACCTTTAAACACCTCATTTAAATTCTGCAGATAAAAATTATATTCTGCCCTTTTATAAAAATCCTTGAAGATATCATTAAAACTATGTTTAACTAAATGCTTCAGATGAAAAAAAAGCATAAATAATGAAATGATATTCAAATTTGCTTCACTTAAAAAATAAAATAAGTTGGTTTTCCGCTTCATGGAGAGAGAAGTTACACTGTCTAGAACCATGACATCATATGCAATGTTGACATCTATTATCAACCCAATTAACTATTTGCTGTTCAAATTGTGGTGAAAGTACATTGAGACTTCTTTTGTGCTGTTATCACTGGTTTAATACCAAATTGCTTGGCATCTGTGTACCAAGGCTTTGATCTAATACTCTATCAGTTGTTGGCTCAGGCACAAGAGACTGCAGAGTACACAAAGCTGTCGCAGCAGACTCCAGGGAGAAAGAGGCTGTTGATATACAGCCCTGATTAGCTAAGTCAGTCAATATTTGCATGACGCAATGATAGTGCCTTTTTAATGTTAGATTGTTATTCCACTGAAGCAAGTAGGAAACTTCCTGTTCAAGAGCTTGGTGTATTTTTTAGAAGTTCTTTTTCCCCTCTCAGGTACATATATGAGATAGTTTCTTTCATCTTTCTGTTTCCCTTCCTGCTTTCAACATTCGACCACACAGAAATGCAGCACAACAATACACATTCTTGAGGAGTTCACAGTATTTTTCAAGATTAAATGCAAAGGAATTTTGTGAAAGCTGTGATCTTGTCTGTAATCTATCAAAATCTCGTGATTGCGTGTTTTACTTTCATGTGTCTTAAGTGTAAAAAAATTGACAGTTTGATTATTTTCTGCTCTCTAATTTTCAGTTAATTGACATGCAAATTCAAAACAATGATGCCTTTTCTTTATGTAGCTTTTCAAGTTGACATATAGTCACATGCATATTATGGTGTGTAGCATAATTAGATACATGTCTACAATGTAGAAATCAGAAATTAGTATATCTGTCTCCTTAGACAGTTGTCATTTCTTTTGTGTTGGGAAACTTTGAATTTCTCTCTTCTTGTTTTTATAAAATATGTGATAAAATGTGTTATAGAACTTTTTCCTCTTATGTAGCTCTAGTTGTGTATTCATTATATAATCTTCCTCTGCCTCCCTCTTCCTACCCTCCTTATTTTCTAGAAAACACTGATGTCCTGTTTCTTTGCAGTATAGATCTCCAGTCAGTACATCTTTTAATGTTACTCAGAGGTTATGAAAATTAATCTTATAAAATTAATGTTTGAGTGAAGCTAATAGAAAGTTGAGCACCCATTAAAAGTCGAAAAATTTGAACATTTTTATTTCAGATTATTATATAATTCTTGGCCTCTGGCACAAGGACTGGATAGTTGTAAAATATTGATTATAATTAGAAAATATTTCTGATTACATTTTTTGTATCGGGGCACTCTTTTTCTCTCCAACCCTCTTTCTACTTCTTATGTTTTACAATGTGGGAAATGTTGATGGCAACAAAAACAACCAGACTGGTATCACATTTAAAGTCATTTGATCAACATTTATGATGTAGCCTTAATAATACAGGTCCAAGCCCCGTATTATTTGTTGAAGGAGACAAAAACAAAGACACTGTCCCTGCTTTCAGAGTGTGTGAATTCATCTGTAACCTTAAACAAATAATGTAGGAATATAAGGATTATGGTAAAGCTCAGAATAATGTATATTCTGGGCACATGGGAAGAAGGGGTCAGTTCCACCTGGGCTGGAAGATCTGACAGGTTTGGGAAGCAAAGAAAGAACAGGAAAGGCTGTGTGAATGGGGCTACTTGGGCAAAACAGCAATATGAACAAAGGCAAAGAAGTAGGAGCAAACAGGACATTAAGAGCAACTTATGTGTTAAAAAATTACCCTGGGCTGGTGTTGGGAGATGTAACAAGAGAAAAAAAACTTGATACAGAAAAGTTGCAATAATTGTCAGGAGCAAGAAATATGGGGAGCCCTAGGATTAATTTGAGTTTTATGTTAAGATGGTAAAGTTTTGCAGTTTTTTTTTTTAATAAGAGTGCCACAATGGGATTTATAGCTTGGAAAGGCATTATGCCAACAGTAGGAAAGGCAGGCTAGAAGAGTGAAAATAGAAAAAGAAAAAATGACTAGGAGACTATAACAAGAATTAGACAATGTGCATTGGTCTTAACTTGAATCTCTGATCCATTTTTAAGAATAATATAAGCAAATATTCTTTTCATATAGTGTCAAGTGACTCACGGATATCTTGAAGTCCACCCACAACCTCAGGAGAATTGCTGAATTCCAGATCAGAAACTCCTAAATAGGCGATCAGGCAATTAGAGTTGAGGATAGAAAATGACATGTCACTATCAGAGGATAAGGAAGAATCTATAGGATTTGTTGATAGGTTAAATATGGAGCTGGAGGGTGGGCAGAAAAGAATGTCAGCAGATTCCCAGGATTGTGGATAAGAGAGGCTAGGTTGACAATGGAACTTCAATCAAAACAAAGAACAGAAAGTAACATGTTACTGAGATTGTTGAGATACCTATGGAGTGTCTTGGGGCAATGTCAGAAAGCATTTAGAGGGGCCGGGAGATGTCTCAGTGGAATAAGCACTTTCCTGGCAAGTGCAAGGGCCTGAGTTCAATCCCCGGTTCAAGGCATCTAGAGTAGTCTACGTGTCTGGGTTGAAGATATTGGTTATTTTAGAATCTTCAACTCACTATAAGGAGAAATTAAAACCATTTTGATTTCACTCATTGAGATCATGTAAAGTAGAAAGAAAGGCAGGCAACAATCCTTAGAGAACAACAAATTTGAGGGATAAAAGAGTAAGCAAAGGGAACCGAGAGAAAGAAGAAAAAGCATGAAGAATTTTAGAATTCAAAGAAGGAAATAATATTGAGAAAGACATGGTCCACAGCATCAAACAGTTCAAGAACAAATAGGCCAAGCACTTGAAACATTTTTCATCATATATTACAACTAAGTAGTTATTAGTCATTCCCACAACAAGTTTCAATGCATTTGGGGCTAGGCTATATGTAATAAATCATACTACTAAAGTTCAAAAAGTGGATGAGAGATGAGAATGTGAGTATAGAATATTCTTTACAGGACATTGCAGTGATAACAAGATGAATAGTAGAGCTAAAGGAAAATCTATGGTATTGCCAAGTCTAATTGCATTGTATACTTTCAATACGGATAGATAACCCTGGTCCTTGACTTAAAATGATTTGACTTACAAACTTATAACTTACAATGATGCAAAACATATATTCAATAAAAGCTGTTCTTTCACTGAATTTTGATCTTTTCCTGGGCTGGCAATATGTGTTATACTTTCACAAGAAAGTGTAGCTCTCAGCCCTGCTGTCGTAGGAGTAAATAACCAACATTCTACAGTGAACTGGGTTTCTAAGCTATAGTATTCAGCAGGTTAAGTGTATTAAGTACTACTTATTACTTATATTTTATGTTTACAATGGGCCTATTGGATATAATTCTATAAGGCAAAGATCATCTGTGTATCTTATTTCTTCTTATGAAAAAGATCTCTATTCACTTCTACAATTACATAAGAGAGGTTCCAATTTTTTATAGTTTAGTGACCACGTATTAAGATAGCTTCCAACTTTTAATGGTCTGTTGGCAAACACTGTTTAATTTGCAATTTCCTCATTGTTAATCAAGTTAAACACCTTTTCATATATAATTTTCTAGCTACTTACATTTTTCATCTCTGTCTTGCTTGTTTATAGTCTTGGTAGTTGAGTTTATTTTATTGATTTATAAGAACTCTACAATTACTGATATTGATATTTTCCTTCTATGTATGTTGGAAAATTTTTCTTCCAAGCTATAGATTATCTCCTGTTTTGTTCATGGTGTCTTTATGACAGCCATATAGCTAAATCAGTTATAAAACTTAAAAATACTTTTGTTATTTTATTCCAATGATTTAAAGATTTTATTTATTATGCATGGCTCTTTATTCCATCTGAAATGTATTTGCATGTGAAGTAGTAAGGTTTATTCTTATTGAATTGTTACTTGCCTTTCTATTTTTTTAATTAATTTTATTGAGAAA